CTAATAAGTGTATTTTCTAGGGGTGAGTGTGTTATCCAGAGGATTTGGAAGAGTTTCCATCCTGATGCTCTGTTGACTGAGGGTCTTTATCCTGGTTAATGTGTGACTGCTCTGCTGATATCACTGTGAGCCCCAAAGCTTAGAGCTCCTGTTGTGCTCTTAGGTCGACAGCACAAGAAGGTTTTAAGGATATTGTGTGGAGAAGTTGGGAATGTGAAATAACTTGAAGCTTGTTGGCAAGTGCCTCCTCCCACCTGAGGAGTTAAGCAGAGGATGAAGCTTGGCTCTGCAGCCTTTGGAGCTGCTGATGTTGGAATATTGATTAATCAATGTGCTCTCCTGGAATTAAGCTCTGTGTGATGGATGTGTGGCGAGGTGGAACTGACACTTGGTTTGTATAGAATCCCAGAGTGGTTTGGGTTGGAAGGACTAAAGGCTCATCCATTGTCACCCCTTGCCATTCCTCCTCATCCTGGTGCCGGGCACCACTGGAAAGAGTCTGGTACCACCACAGAACCATAGAATTTTAGAGGTTGGGATGGAGTTTAGAGATGATCCAGTGCCAAACCCCTACCATGGGCAGGGACACCTCCCACCAGAGCAGGTTGCTCAAGGCTTCATCCATCTTGGCTTTGAACATCGCCAGGGTTGGGGCATCTACTACTTCCCTGGGCAACCTGTTCCAGAGTCTCACCAGACATTAGTCCTCCTGACACCCCTTGGAGATGTGGATTCTGTGTGGCAGAGAGGGTGTTGTATTTCTGCCCATCAGAATGAGACCCAAAGTATAAACACTCCTACAGAACCGACAGGTGATGCCCCAAACCTGACCACGAATCAGGATGGGAAGACTAAAACCCAACCCACAGTAGGTTCAGAACTTGCATCCTGAAGAGATGGAGGGACATTCCCATATCTCCATAAGCAGCTTCTGTTGTGACGGGACTTTTTGCCGAAGGTTTTGGCTGGAGCTGTGTCCTGGATCCTGCTGTGTCTCACTGGAGACATGTGACAAACACTTCAAACCCAGGGCTGGGGCAGTCCGTGAGCGCGTGCATCGCGGCGGCCCCGGGATCAAAGGAGGCCTGTCCAAGAACAAGGATGTCTCTCACCAGGGCTCAGCTCAAACTTCAGCCCAGCACTTGGCAGAAGAAGCTCAGATTCCATAAATTCAACCTATAGGAGTCCTTAAGCATTTACTCCAAGGAAAGCCAACAACTCTGCCAGTTTCGTGGTGTGGTTCAGAGATTCACAGTGTGTTAAGGGGTTGGGATGGAGCTTAGAGATCATCTGGTCCCAACCCCCTGCCCTGGGCAGGGACACCTCCCACCAGAGCAGGTTGCTCAAGGCTTCATCCATCTTGGCTTTGAACATCGCCAGGGTTGGGGCATCTACTACTTCCCTGGGCAACCTGTTCCAGAGTCTCACCAGACATTAGTCCTCCTGACACCCCTTGGAGATGTGGATTCTGTGTGGCAGAGAGGGTGTTGTATTTCTGCCCATCAGAATGAGACCCAAAGTATAAACACTCCTACAGAACCGACAGGTGATGCCCCAAACCTGACCACGAATCAGGATGGGAAGACTAAAACCCAACCCACAGTAGGTTCAGAACTTGCATCCTGAAGAGATGGAGGGACATTCCCATATCTCCATAAGCAGCTTCTGTTGTGACGGGACTTTTTGCCGAAGGTTTTGGCTGGAGCTGTGTCCTGGATCCTGCTGTGTCTCACTGGAGACATGTGACAAACACTTCAAACCCAGGGCTGGGGCAGTCCGTGAGCGCGTGCATCGCGGCGGCCCCGGGATCAAAGGAGGCCTGTCCAAGAACAAGGATGTCTCTCACCAGGGCTCAGCTCAAACTTCAGCCCAGCACTTGGCAGAAGAAGCTCAGATTCCATAAATTCAACCTATAGGAGTCCTTAAGCATTTACTCCAAGGAAAGCCAACAACTCTGCCAGTTTCGTGGTGTGGTTCAGAGATTCACAGTGTGTTAAGGGGTTGGGATGGAGCTTAGAGATCATCTGGTCCCAACCCCCTGCCCTGGGCAGGGACACCTCCCACCAGAGCAGGTTGCTCAAGGCTTCATCCATCTTGGCTTTGAACATCGCCAGGGTTGGGGCATCTACTACTTCCCTGGGCAACTTCCACCTTCAATCCTGCGTGAGGACAGCAGAGCCTGAGCACAGCCAGAACCCTCTGACTGCAAACACTGAGGGTTTGCAGAGGAATCCTTCCATTTCTGTGCTGCTGGTCATGCTTTGACCACTACAGGACTTGTGGTTAGCAGTTATATAAACTTGAGGAGTTCCAGGCCAGGTTGGATGGGGCTTGGAGCATCCTGTGCTAGTGGAAGGTGTCTCTGCCCGTGCCAGGGGGTGGAACTGGGTTATCTTTCAGGTCCTTCTAAGCCAAACCATTCCATAGTTCTATTTATGTCCCCATGCCCAGCTTCAGTAATTCCAGCTGAGCTGCTGAATCTCAATCACTTTTCATTGCTGGCGATGTCCCCATGCCCAGCTTCAGTAATTCGAGCTGAGCTGCTGAATCTCAGTCCCTTTTCATTGCTGGCATCAATACCCAGAAATCAGAGGCTGCCCAGGCTGAGGAGAGGGAGCTCTGCCACTTCTTTTCTCTTCTGAAGCCTCTGCAGAGAAGCTTTGCCTGGCCAACACCCTCTGAACTGCTTTGTTCGTGCCTGGGAGCTGAAGGGCAGTCTGAGCCCCAGCTGAAGGTTCAAGAAATGTTAGCAGATCAAAGCAATTCTTTATCTTGGAGATGAAGGCTTAAATGTGCTATCTGTGGGTTCTTGCAGATGCTTATCTTCTGTGAGCTGCTGCCCAGCTGCAGCCCTTTGGTCACTTGATGTGGCCACTGGGAGGCTGTGCATACTGAAAGGCTGTTTAAGAGACTGTTAGAGTCACACTCCAAGAAGTGATGTCTGCCTTAACCTTTCCAGCTTGATTTATGAGGGTCAGTGATCAGAGGTGCAGGATTGGGCCTTGCTGAGACACACAGAAGGTTCCTCTGAGTGTTGGGATGGAAAACCTCCTCCAACAGTCCCTTTTTTTGCCATCTGGAAGATTTGAAGGAAAGGCAAATCTTCAGCAAGATGTTAAAGAAGCCTCAAACTGCTGTAAGACACAACTCCAAGTGGTGCTGCTCCAAATTTGGCTGATTTTAATTAAGCTGGAGGAATGGAGTGTTGGCAGAGTGAGGACCAGAGTATGTTGAGTGTTGTCTTCGATTTGGTTAGGAGTGTTGAAGAGTATTTTTGGTCCATGGGAGGATCTTGTTTTCTTGGGGCTTGAGATGCTCAAACAATTTTGGCTGCCAGAACATGACTCATGACAAGAATTTTAATAGCCCTGGTGAAACAGGACCATCCCTCTGAAATCCTGCTGGGGCTTCTCTGCTGTGTTGTACTGGATTCTGACTTTAAACTCGCTGGTTTTCCTGTTAGCAGGGCAATCCTAGGGGGTTGTAGCCACCCTTAGGCTCCTATTTTTAGCCAAATTTGGCAGGTTTTGGGGACTGGTGTCAATTTGGGGACCATTTGCCTCTTCATTCTTGGGTGCCTTCAGCTCTGGGGCCATGGAGCATCTCTCTGGCTGTGGTGGAACCCCAGCTGGTTTGTGTTCCTGGAGTATCCTGGAGTATTGCAGCAGATGAGGGATTTGTTTGTATCCATAGTTTTTTGTCCTACCAGAATGACTCTGTTGCTATGCATAAGGTAACACAAAGCTGCTTAGGCTTCAGCTTGGATGACTGAGTGGGCCAAGCTGAATTTGGGACTTGGGAAAGAATCCAGGAGCTCAACTCAGTCCTGAGCCTGAATTGATGCATAAGGTGAGCTCAAGGAGTTGTACCATCCCTAACCTCTGAATTCCAAGCCCATGATGCTGCAGCTGATGCTTCAGCTGGAGATGAGTAAGGAGAGTGATTACAGGGAGAGCTGCTGCTCTGGAGGAGATACAGATGTTGAGTAATTTCCTTCTGCAGCTTAAAAGCTGTGGTTAAAATGAGGCTCTGGCAAGCTGAGCCTGTCTAGCTCAGCTCTGCAGCTTAGCAAAGATGTGTCCTGTTGGGGAAATCAAAGCTGTGAGTGTGTTTTAGCTGCCCTGGAACATTCTGGCTGCTTGCACAGTGCCTTCCCTTGGCTCATCCCTGCCCAGAGTGGCAGTTTGAGGAGGTGTTGTGGTTGTGTCTCTATCCTAGGGAACTGCTGGCAGGGGCTGTTGGTTCTCCTGCCATGTCTCAGCAACCTTAGTCTTCTCTGCTTGATGTGCAGAAGCAATTTTGCAGGGATGTCTTTTCCTGAGGGCAGAATTTGGGTGCTCTAATGTCAGTGTTCTGAGATTTCAGTCCACAGGCTCGTGCAGGGATTCCCTTTGGGACGTGGATGTGAAGTGTTTGACATTTGCAGTGTGGGTGGAACCGATTCAGAGTTGATTGAATCTATTTCTGATATGGGACAGGAATGTTCTGTACAGCCAAGCCATAAAACCTTGGGAAGAGCTATCCTTAGTGACCCCCTGGAGCTCCATGACCTCTGGGGCAAGAGGAAATGCAGTTCCAGCCCAATGCAGAATTAAACCTTTGGTTGTTTTGACCTTGACAACTGTTTCCTCTTGACCTTTAGGACCTTCTGTTAGTCTTCACTAACCTGCTGAGCTGCAAACTCTTTCCAGTGAAGTAGAATCATGGAATATCCTGAGCTGGATAGGACCCACAAGGCTCATGGAAGTCCAACTCTTGCCCTGCACAGGCCACCCCAAAATCCCACCTTGAACCGTGTGATGGGGAGAACAATCCCAACAGTTTTGATGGCTGGAATCAACTTGCTGTGGACCTGTGTTGGAATGCTGAGTTCCTGACATGGATTTCAGGATAGATAAGCAAATTGGTGGTGCTGTGTGGGTTCCTGGGTGGGCTGTGGGGCAGTGATAGCTGAACTTCTGCCCAGCCAAGTGCTCTAACAACCTGTCCTCCACTGCAGGGCACAGCTTCATCGCCTTCCCTCGCCACGAGGAAGAGCATCTCCAGAGGACCATGAGCTGGCACCCCTGTCTCCTGATCCTGGGCCAGAACTGCCATGCCAAGTGCCAGTTGCTCAACATCCTGCTGGGTGAGAAGCTGCTCCCAACCACCAAGATCAGCAACGAGGAGAACTGCAAGCGGCGCCGGATCCGCTTCACCCACGGCACACAGACACGGCTCAGCCTGGCCCTGCCCGAGCAGTACGAACTGGTCCACATGTTGGCAGCACACAGAGGCCACTGGGACACCATTCCAGAGGAGGACTTGGAGATCCATGGGGATAATGAGGATCCTGCTCACCGGATCGCTGAGCTGGAGGTCATGTTGCCATACTCACTGCTGAAGGTAACCAGGTGTCCATGACCATCCTCCCAGGGAGACTCAAGGTGGGGAGGCACAGGTTGCCTAGGGAGGTTGTGGATGCTCCAGCACTGGAATTGCTTGAGGCCAGGTTGGATAAAGCCTTGAGCAACCTGGTCTGATGGGAATTGGTGGAGTCCAACACCTCCAGGGATGGTAAGAGGCATCTGGATATGACACTGGAGGATATGGGTTAGGGGTTCCAGCAGTGGCAGGTTAATGGTTGGATTGGATGATCATATAGGTCTCCTCCATCCTCTGATTCTGTGATTCTGGTTGTCCCTGCCCAGGACAGGGGGTTGGGTCTAGATGATCTTTAAGGTTGACTCCAACCCCTTCCCATTCCATGACTCTCTGTACCATTTATAGTCCCTGGTAAAATGAATTGTGTCAACTCCCAAGCATGGGAATATTTGCCATCAAAGAGAAGCTGAGCCTGGTGTTAGGGTTTTAGCTCGACATCTCTGTGCTGTTGTTTCAGTGCTGACTCTTAGAACTGTCATTCCTCTGTGGTGTTTCCATCCATCTCAGGAGTCAAGTTCAGGCAGAACTCCAAAGGTCTCCTAAAATTTGATTCAGCTTCAAGGTCATTCCGAGTTAGCTTTGCTGTCTCATGGTAGCTTGAAGCTGTTACACAAGGAGATTGTACTTGATCTCTGGCCTGAAGGTTTTGTTGTCAGGGAAATCTTCCTTCCAATAAAACCTGATTCCCTGTGGCAAAGTGGCTTTTGCAGTGCTGTGGTGCCACTGGAGTTGGAGATGTTAAGGAATCAGCTCCCAGTGCTGCTTCTAACATTGTGTCTTTGAGTTTCCTTTTACTTGTCCATAAAAGCTGTTCCTGGCTGGATTGTTGCAGTTTGGGGCTTAGCAAATCCCTTT